CAATCCTGTTTGGAACTCCCTTTCAGGTAGTTGAAAGCACCTATCAAATCCCCCCTCATTCTTCTTTTCTGCAGACTAAACAATCCCAGTTCCCACAGCTTCTCCTCATAAATAATTAGGGGACTGGAGCACATGACTTTTGTTGCCCTCCGCTGGACTCTTTCCAATTTTTGCACATCCTTCTTGTAGTGTGGGGCCCCAAACTGGACACAGTACTCCAGATGAGGCCTCACCAATGTCAAATAGAGGGGAATGATCACGCCCCTCGATCTGCTGGCAATGCCCCCTACTTATAAGGCCCCAATGCCGTTAGCCTTCTTGGCAACAAGGGCACACTGTTGACTCATATCCAGCTTCTCGTCCACTGTAACCCCTAGGTCCTTTTCTGTAGAACTGCTGCCTAGCCATTCGGTCCCTAGTCTGTAGCAGTGCATGGGATTCTTCCGTCCTAAGTGCAGGACTCTGCATTTGTCCTTGTTGAACCTCATCAGATTTCTTTTGGGCCAATCCTCTAATTTGTTTAGGTCCCTCTGTATCCGATCCCTACCCTCCAGCGTATCTACCACTCGTCCCAGTTTAGTGTCATCTGCAAACCTGCTGAGGGTGCTCCTTGTCCACATGCTTGTTGACCCCCTCAAAGAATTCTAGCAGATTGGTAAGGCATGATTTCCCTTTACAAAAACCATGTTGATTCTTCCCCAACAAATTATGTTATCTATGTGTCTGACAATTTTGTTCTTTACTAGAGTTTCAACCAATTTACCTGAAGTCAGGCTTACTGGCCTGTAATTGCTGGGATCACCTCTGGAGCCCTTTTTAAAAATTGGCCTCACATTAGCTATCCTCCAGTTATCTGGTACAGAAGCTGATTTAAGTGATAGGTCACAGACTACAATTAGTAGTTCTGCAATTTCACATTTGAGTTCCTTCAGAACTCTTGGGTGAAAACCATCTTGTCCTGGAGATTTATTACTGTTTAGTTTATCAATTTGTTCCAAAACCTCCCCTAATAACACCTCAATCTGGGACAGTTCCTCAGATTTGTCACCTAAAAAGAATGGCTCTGGTTTGGGAATCTCCCTCACATCCTCAGCCCTGAAGACCAATGCAAAGAATTCATTTAGTTTCTCCGCAATGGCCTTATTGTCTTTGAGTGCTCCTTTATCATCTCAATCGTCCAATCTTAGAGTCATAGACTTTAAGGTCAGAAGGGACTAATATGATCTTCTAGTCTGACCTCCCGCATGATGCAGGCCACAGAATCTCACCCACCCACTCCCGCAACAAACCCCTAACCTATGTCTGAGCTATTGAAGTCCTCAAATCATGGTTTAAAGACTTAAAGGTGCAGAGAATCCACCAGGAAGTGACTCGTGCCCCACGCTGCAGAGGAAGGCGAAAACCCCCCCAGGGCCTCTGCCAATCTGCCCTGGAGGAAAATTCCTTCCCGACCCCAAATATGGCAATCAGCTAAACCCTGAGCATGTGGGCAAGACTCACCAGCCAGACATCCAGGAAAGAATTCTCTGTAATAACTCAGATCCCACCCCATCTAATATCCCATCACAGGCCAATGGGTATATTTACCGCTAATAGTCAAAGATCAATTAAATGCCAAAATTAGGCTATCCCATCATACCATCCCCTCCATAAACTTATCAAGCTTAGTCTTGAAGCCAGATAGGTCTTTTGCCCCCACTGCTCCCCTTGGAAACCTGTTTCAGAACTTCACTCCTCTGATGGTCAGAAACCTTTGTCTAATTTCAAGTCTAAACTTCCTGATGGCCAGTTTATATCCATTTGTTCTTGTGTCCACGTTGGTACTGATCTTAAACAATTTCTCTCCCTCCCTGGTATTTATCCCTCGGATATATTTACAGAGAACAATCATATCTCCCCTCAGCCTTCTCTTGGTTAGGCTAAACAAGCCGATCTCCCTGAGTCTCCTTTCATAAGACAGGTTTTCCATTCCTCAGATCATCCTAGTAG